CTGAACGTGATGCCGGTGTTGAAGCAGTCGGTGCTGTGCCACATCAACGCCGATATTTCGGGGATGAAGGTGCCCTGGCTCTACGTGGGGATGGTCTTCTCCGCCTTCTGCTGGCACATCGAGGACCACTGGAGCTACTCCATCAACTACCTCCACTGGTGGGGGGCTCGGGGGGGTGTTTGGGTGGGAAGGGATGGTCCTGGGAGGTGGCATGGGGTGCGAGGAGGGGTTTTGGGGTGCCCCGACCTCATTCCTCCGCCCCAGCGCAAGCTAAAGATGGGTTATGTGGGGTGAGGGGAGGTTTTTTGGGGTGCTCCTGACCTGATTCTCCACTGAGGGACAAGCCCAAGCTGGATTATGGGATAAGGGGAGGTTTTTGGGGTGCCGTGACCCTCCTAGGGGCAAGCCCAAGCTGGGTTATGGGGTGAGGGGAGGTTTTTTGGGGTGCCCCATACCTGATCTTCCACCCAGGGGCGAGCCCAGGATGGTTATGGGGTGAGGGGAGGTTTTTGGGGTGCCGTGACCCCCCTGGGGGCGAGCCCAAGCTGGGTTATGGGGTGAGGGGAGGTTCTTGGGGTGCCGTGACACCCCCCCTAGGCCTGAGCCCAAGACATAGTACAGGGTGGGAGGCGGTTTTGGGGTGAGCCCAAGCCACGGTGTGGAGTGGGAGGGAGGGGTTTTGGGGTGCCCCTGACCCCGTACCCCCCCAGGGGCGAGCCCAAGACGTGGTACGGGGTGCCGTCCTTCGCGGCGGAGCACCTGGAAGAGGTGATGAAGAAGCTGACGCCGGAGCTTTTCGAGAGCCAGCCCGACCTGCTCCACCAACTCGTCACCCTCATGAACCCCAACACCCTCATGGCCCACGGCGTCCCCGTGAGTATGGGGGTCCCCTCAGCAGCCCCCCAAAACTCCTTACCTCCTCGCCTCACCCCCAATTTTGCCCTTTTTTTTATGGTTTTTAGGTCGTACGCACCAACCAGTGCGCCGGCGAGTTTGTGATCACCTTCCCCCGGGCGTACCACAGCGGCTTCAACCAGGGTTACAACTTCGCCGAGGCCGTCAACTTCTGTACCGCCGACTGGGTGAGCCCCCGCGCCCCCGAAAATCAGGGGGAGGACCCCAAAATCTGGGCTGAGGACCCCAAATTTGGGCTGGGCGCTCCTCGGGGAGGAGGATGCTCGAGGAGCTCCCCAAGCGTTGAGCCGGGATTTTGGGGATCCGCCGCCGCGGTTCAACCCGGGGATGCCTTTTGGGGGTATGGGGGGGGTTCCCCTAAATTTGGGGGCCCCCCTAACGCTCGGCGTCGCCCGCAGCTGCCCGCCGGCAGGCAGTGCATCGAGCACTACCGACGTTTGCGACGTTACTGCGTCTTCTCCCACGAGGAACTCATCTGTAAGATGGCGGCTTGCCCCGAAAAGCTGGACCTCAACTTGGCGGCCGCCGTTCACAAGGAGATGTTCGTGTTGGTGCAGGAGGAACGGAAGCTCCGCAAAGCGCTGCTGGAAAAGGTGAGGGTGAAAACGCACGGGGAACCCCCCAAAAATTTAAAAAGGGGGTGATGGGGCGGGGGGGAAGCGGTCTACGGTGGGGCTGAGGGTCGCGTTTTTACGGCCCCCCCAGGGTATCACGGAGGCGGAGAGGGAAGCGTTCGAGCTGCTGCCCGACGACGAGCGGCAGTGCGACAAATGCAAGACGACGTGTTTCCTCTCGGCGCTGGCGTGTTACGACTGTCCCCAGTGCCTCGTCT